ATCACATCATAAAACCAAACCCAGGTTGCTGAAGTTTAAACTGATGGCCAGAAGCTCTACTTGAAGATCTATTGGAAGAGAGCAGAGCTCTCCACTCACTACCACAATGATTTTTATGTTTCCTTCCTTAAATACTGTCTATTTAATCAACCAGACCTAATCAACACATTTGTCCCAAAAAGCCATATTTCACAAATTTTTTTTACTATTTTTTGGTAAAGTTAAGATAGAATCTTGTTTTCTTTTTAGATAATAAGGGTTTAGCCTCTTTATGCCCAGTTTCTTTCTTACTGATGAATAACGAGACTAACTGAACTCTGGCTCCAAAAACACTAACATTTCACCTTTTTGGAAAAGTTGATTTCATGGAACGAAAGGATTTTAGGGGAGATCAAGTCAACAGCTAAATTATGATTTTATTAGATTGCTGTTAAGTTTCCCCATCAAGGAATAGGTTGGTTTGTTATATTCCCCCATAGGAACAAATGATCATTCAAAAACACTATTTTGTATTCATTCTAATTATTACAATTGGTTTGATTCAAAGAAATCTTTTTTATAGTACTGTAGGTCTAGCTTTATAGATTTTTTTATTCATGTTTTCACCCTGCATGCAAAAGAAAGATATTGATGATGATATTGTTCTTTACAAAAGTACACACCTTATCTAAATTAAGATCATGACTGGAGACAAGATGACCTGGCAACAGGTCATGATTACCTACAAGAAAAGTTTTCTTACTGGTAGGATCTGGATTAAATGTTGACTATAATGTACAAATAAAAACTTAGGGGGTATCTGCACCCATATTTTATTGTCTTTTTTTTTTAAGGTGTTATAAAAGCATGTGTGTAAGGGCACAGGGGGATGGCTCACCATCCCCAGAATTCACACAAGCAGAAGAGCTGGAACTTGATATAAACAAAGGGAGAACTCTTTTATACAGGTTTATAGGGGAAACGGATTCAGCAGTCATGGACTGAGACAGGCCACTGTGCCTTGATGTTAAGCAATAAGATATCTTAAGGTGATTTAATGCACACAAAAAAATTAATGTCTAATAATTACCGTCAGTTTAAGTGCCTCATTGTCAGTGGCATTCAAAAATCCCCACACGATTGTGAAGGGAGACGTATGTGCAGATGATTTATTCTCAACATTTTAGCTCAAGGGTGTAACTTTGTGATGAAAGTTGGTGGGGACACTCTAAGGTTGGTGGCGTATGGACTTACAGTTACTTGACACAAACACTTTCAATAGGGTTTGTATTTTCCAAAAATGAGCCCAAACATATATTTATTGAATGCTCTCTTATTTTTGAGGACACAAAAGAACAAAAATACACTGATGTTTATATTTTGTCTATAGCTAGACAATGTATGAAAAAAAGGATTAACAACAGCCGATTCTGATGCCATCAGCAATATATTATGCCTTCCTAGTATGTACACAATTTCAGTTTCATTCAATCATCCAACCAGAAAAATTAGGCTTGATTGTTGGATGTTTTCCCTTTCAGCTACATCAGTAATTATCCGCCTTGAAAAGTGGCAAAATCTAATTTAGAAAATTTTCCCACATATTGTTGAGTCAAATCTATGTATTGAAATTATTGGTTGGGACATGTCCACACCAGTCCTACAGAAAGTTACGTCTGTGTTTTAGCTTCTTTATCAAACATTTCTCCAAACCCCTCAATCCTCTGTTCTTTCTCAACAGATAAAGCACCAGATTAACTAAATCTAGCTGTTAGCCTGGACTAGCAGAATAAATCACCATGTATGTGCTACTTATGTGAAAACCGAGTCTAGGCTTAATTAAAACAGGATATCAGCAAATCTCGGCTTAATTCGTAATCTTAGTTTTTTTTTTTTTTTTTTGGTGGAAGGGACTTCATTTTGTTACTCACTGGCATTACTGTATTTGTTTTCATTCTGGAGTTCTGACCAATCCCAGTTCGGTATAGGCGGAGACTGTGACGCCTTCACAGTGGGCCACGCCCCCATGTTCAAGGAACAGCGCTTCATACATACACTGTTGTTAGCGACGTAGCCGCTGAATTCAGTTACATTTACATTTTCCTACGCTTCTTAAAACTTTGCCTTTTTTTGTTTTAAATCACCGCTTGGTGAATGTTGGCGTAGCGGGTTGGCGGTGAGGATCCTTTACATCGGAGCGCAAAGTTGTAGTGGGTGGCAGCCGATTGGGGTAAGTTAATGTAGCTGGGGTAATGGGTTTGGTTGTTGTGCTAAGGTAGCTGCAGCATCATAACCTTGCCGAAAAGACGTGGATTTAAAGGAAGCGTTTGTCGCTTTTGGGTTATGTTGAAAACGGTTTGCTATGTTTTATTCTACTTTGAAGCTGGAGGATTTAATAGCGGCTACGTTAGCCTGCTGCGCCGAGAACTTAACCGAAGCTAGTCGTCAATGAGGCTAGCAACGTGAACTAGCTGTCAGGCTAATGTTAAGCAGACTGACCTGATGTATTCTACTGGAAATTGGTTCTTGTTATCTGTGTCTTGGTTTCCAAATTAGTTTTGCCAAGAGACTGTTGATGCTGACAGAGACTCGGTTTATTCTGGGAAACTTTTTCCTCCAACTTTGCGCTAATTTTGAACGTTTATACGGCGCTTAGAAGCATTAGAGCTAGCCTGTTAGCTTGCTAGCGGTCTTGTAATTTTCACCGTTTTTAACATAAGCTAAAGAGTTTTCTAGCATGTTTGATTATTACAGGAAACGTGAGGTACTGATGGCAAAATATATATAAATTAAGATATTTATTCGCGGCTCAGCTGCAGGTTCCAGTTTTCAGGTCTTCAACCCAGCAGTGAATGTTATTTCAGTAATCGGATGTTTGACTAAAGTGTTTTTTTAGTTATAACCCGATAGTCATAAGCCACTACTAACTGTTTCTGTCTCAGAGTTAACTCAGAAACTTGGTTTCCTTATAAACTAAATCGGATAAAGTCAACGTCAGCCATCAGACCAGCGAAAGCGGTCATCTTGCCGAAAACGGATAGCTCGGTGTTTAGCTCAGAGGGGGAGGGGAATAGAGAGAGGGCTGCAGCGAGCGACAGGCAGCGCCAGCGAAAATGGTGGAAGAAATCGGATAAATGTCAGGCTTTTTGTGGCGATAATACACTAATATCGCAGCCATTCGCCCTCTGGCGTGTTTGCTTATCGTTTCGAAGGAGAAAACCCGAAGCTAACGGAGCCAAAGACGCACAATTTGCGACTGAAACCTGTGCGCTTTGCCGCCGCGTTCTTACCAAACGGTGGCGGAGAGCAGTGAAGCACAAAGACTCCCCTCCTCTGGCTAAACCCGATGACGTTTATTTAGGGACCGTCGATAAATTACTTTACTTCCTCGGAGCCACTGAACTGTATGACTTCTATATTATGAAACAAAATTTGAATTGAAAAACGTGCATTTAAAAAACAATGGAGGCTTATATTACCGATTTGTAAAACAGTTGACCCTGGAAAAGGTAGAAATAAATCTCTATTTGTAATCTTCAAAAAATATAGATGTAAATAATAATAATAATAATAATAAAAAAAAACAAAAGGGAGAAAGGGAATTTTAGCTGCTGTTAGAAACTAAAGATCGTATTTTCCTCAAAACCTAGACATGACTTTATTTATTTATTTATTTATTTTTGGGTTTAAAAGAAAACTTAAGATTGCTTCATTAAAGTGAAAACATCCAAATAGCTTTGCTAAATTATGATCTTTAATTTACAGTAAAACATGCAAGAGTGGATTTATTTATTTATTTTTTTTTTTTTGTAGTCTGAATACATTTCAGGTCTTTAATATTTATTAAAGCAACAGTTACACTGGTTAGTGAATGGTACTTCTTCATTTTCAATAAATATGAAAGTTATTTGGAATTCTAAAATTCAGTTTATTTCACCTCCTGGACATTATATAGATCATTTACTTCATGTCTGCTGACCATATATATGGCCTGTCACAGCTTTTATCTGGCCCCCAACGGCCAAAAACAGCATTTGTTCTTTTAAAATGAACAATGTGGCAAAACTAAGTAAATAAATGGGAGCAAATTTATAATAACTGAGTAGTGTTCTCTTTGTAAATTAAATTATTAAGTTAATCGTTTTATTTACTGCAACCAACACTTTTAAAAACTTCATAATGCCTACGTGGCCTGATATGTAAAAAAAAAAAAAAAAAAAAATGAGGGGACCACTTGATGATTTCTGAGCTGTGTCAGAAGGCAGCAGGACAAATGGTAAATGTTTACTTTGATTTTAAAAAAGCGTGAGTCTTTAATTACAGCCCTAACTGTGCATAAATACCTTCCTTTCTACTTACGTGAAACTTCATAGCAGTTCTTACTTTTTTTATTTGGCGATTTACAATGAATCCCCCCTCAGTGCAACATACAGGAGAGAACAAATACAGGATGGTAAAAGACTGGTATGTCATAAGGGAGGGGGAAAAAAACACTTGAATAAATTAATGAAAAGAACTGTTAAATTTGTCAAGAACATATGTTTGAAATTATTTTTGGTTTACAAGTTCCTTCGCTCTGATGTTGTTTTGTTTAAGTTATGTTTTGCTCTGAAATAAATCCTGTCTTCAATGGATGCTGGGTGGAGCTTTTTCTAGGATTCAGATCAGTACCAAAAGCTAGCCTGACCCGGAGCAGGTTTGTCGAACAGAGTACATTACCATGGTGACTAGCCTTGCTAATAATGAATCCAGCTCCGTGGTACCAGAAAACCTGGGTTAAAACCTGAGGCAGCTTTGCAAACCCAGTAATCCTGCTTCGTGGTACAGGCCATTGCCTTGTTGACTCTTTTCCTTGGAGTTCCTCTGGGTATTAACTCGACAGAAGGTGTATTTTGATGTGTTTCAAAGTTTTAGAAGTTGTAATGCCCTAAGACCTACACTTTTTAAAAAGGAAGCTTAAAAAGTACCTGAGCGTATTCTTTGACTTTTTTCCTTTTAGCTCAGTTGAGTATGTGTATACCATGAAGAGACGCGCAGAAGAGCCAGAGCCCATTTTTGTGCAACAGCAACCTCGTCGTCCCCTAGTTCAAGGTGCTGGAGAAGTCTTTCAGCCAAGGGCCCTTGTCACGGCCCCGCCTGTGGTTGAGGCCCCTGCCGACACCATGCAGCCCTCAACTGGCATCCAGTACTCCCTCCCTCAGGCCTACCAGGTATGATGTGGGCCAGATATAATTTTAAGTTAAATATTTATGTTTTTGGAAGCATACTGTTTTTGACTAGACGGATGTGCATTGACTAGAACAAGACTTACTGAAAGCTGCATATATACAATTAATATATAGTTAAATGTAGAAATATCTGCCATATTTCATTCCTTAAGGTACCTACTATGCCTCAAAGCACAAGTGGACTTGGACACAACAGTACCACTCCTCATATTGGCCCTCATGCACAAAGCCCAGCTGTACTGTCGCAGGGACCGGCAGCGGTTCCAGCTCACGTTCATCCACCTACACCCTTATCTTCAGTGCAAGGACAACAGCAGCAGTTTCAGAGATTAAAGGTCTGGACAATCCACCAAAAAGACTTCTCTGTGTTGATGTGTCTGCAAAAAATATACTTCATCTATTTATTTATTATTTTTTTTACATTTTTAGGTTGAAGATGCCCTGTCTTATCTGGATCAAGTGAAACTGCAGTTTGGGAATCAGCCTCAAGTTTATAATGATTTTCTCGACATTATGAAAGAATTTAAATCCCAAAGGTTAGTTCAGTTTTTATTGGACAACTTAATTGTTTTGAACAGTTAAATCTAGAGCATATTTTTGATAATGTGGTATCATGGCTTCTGTTTCTGTTTACAGCATAGACACTCCTGGAGTCATCAACCGTGTATCTCAGCTCTTTAAGGGCCACCCAGACCTGATTATGGGGTTTAACACTTTCCTGCCTCCTGGTTATAAGATCGAGGTTCAAACCAACGATCAGGTCAATGTAACAACACCGGGTCAGATACACTACATAACTCCTCAAGGCATTTCTGTACAAAACATCACAGCAGCTGGAGCATCCAGCACACCATCTAACCAGCACCAGAGTCTCCCACAGACCAACCTGCATACCACCACCACCCCTACAATCGCCACTCAGCCTGCTTTAAACAAAGCCAGCAAGGTAGGATATACATTTATCAGTTCATTAATGGCTGTAAATGCTGTGGTTTATTGGTACTGAATGTTTTTTTTTTCATTGTTTTTACTCTCAACAGCTTATTCAGTCTCCAGCCCACACCCCCACCAGCCAGCCAAATCCATCCATCCCATCGTATGCCTCACCAGGTTCTCCTTCGGTCCAGCCACACACTGCCATCAGCAGCACACCATCCAGCGGACCGCCTCTCCAGAATAACCAGCCAGTGGAGTTTAACCACGCCATCAATTATGTCAACAAGATCAAGAACCGCTTCCAGGGCCAGCCAGATATCTACAAAGCCTTCCTGGAAATCCTGCACACGTACCAGGTAAATATAAGATCCACCATCATGGGATTTTATGAGGAAAATTAAATTTCCCTCTTACATCTTTAAATTATTTTTGTATTAGAAAGAACAGCGAAATGCTAAAGAGGCTGGTGGTAACTACACGCCAGCTCTGACTGAACAGGAAGTCTACACTCAAGTGGCCAGACTTTTTAAGAACCAGGAGGACCTGCTGTCAGAGTTTGGACAGTTCCTGCCAGATGCTAACAGCTCAGTGGTAAGTCTCTGAACTTTAGTTTATCGGTTACTGGATTTCTGATGAAGATCTCTTGAGATGCAATCATGCATTTTCCTCCTTTTGTGTAGCTGCTGGGGAAGAGTCCACCTGACAGAGCAGAGTCGGTCCGTAATGATCACGGTCCCACAGTAAAGAGACCCTCACTGAACAACAAACAAAGAATAAATCCGAATGGTCTGCCAATCAGGAGACCTGGTGGGGTTGGATCCACACCTCCTTTCAAGGTAATCAAAAACGGTTTTAATTGTATTACTCTTTTGCTTACATCGACATAAAATATATTGTTTTATTCTGTTGTGTGGTCATTTCTACCTGAAGCTGTCATGTGTTTTCTTTGCAGAAAAAGGCGCTTGTCATCGGGAAGAGCCACAGCATGGCTGAAGTCAGTAAACTCAGCACAAGCACTGAAACTATGTTCTTTGAGAAGGTAAGATTTATTGTGATTTGCACCAGGACTCTAACAATCTAATGTTAATTAATTATTTTTTACATGTTTATGATGCAATTAAAACCCTTTGAGACCCTTGTTTCTGTTCCTTAATGAAACACAGGTTAAAAAGGCTCTGCGCAGCTCGGAGTCCTATGACAACTTCCTCCGATGTCTGCACATTTTCAATCAGGAAGTGATTTCTCGCACTGAGCTGGTCCAGTTAGTTATCCCATTTCTTGGGTAAGTCTGTGGCTGTCTGGATATCTGCTGTACCTGTAAATATACATCCATACCCATAAATATTCCTGCTAATGGCTATTCTTGTATTTGTGCAGAAAATTCCCTGAGCTTTTTACTTGGTTTAAGAACTTCTTGGGCTACAGAGAGTCTAGTCATGGGGAGTTGAGTCATGTGGAGAGTTTACCCAAAGAACGTTCTACCGAGGGTATAGCTATGGAGATCGATTACGCTTCCTGCAAGAGGCTGGGGTCCAGCTACAGAGCTCTGCCAAAGAGCTATCAGCAACCCAAGTGCACAGGAAGAACGCCACTGTGCAGAGAGGTTAGTTTAAACATGAGACCAATGCAACTTCCATTGTATTCAACAGACAAGATTAAATATTATACTATTTTTTAATTGATTTATTTTTATATGTCTGGGAAAATGTCAAATAACTGCAAATAAAAAATAATTGAATGTTGTTTTGATCCCTTATGCAAACCGGTTGGCAGAAAGTTTTCACCTGAATAGACATTTTTTTTTTTGTATTAGGTTTTGAATGATACCTGGGTGTCTTTTCCGTCGTGGTCGGAAGATTCCACATTCGTGAGCTCCAAGAAGACTCAATATGAGGAGCATATTTACAGATGTGAAGATGAGCGCTTTGAGGTGAGTAATAATCCATTTCCATCATGCTAATACGGTGGTTTGCAAAACCATTTAGATTCCATGAACTACCTCATATTTTGTCTCATAAACAGAAAAAAAACTTCTATCTAGACCGTGGCAAAAAGAAAAATAGCAAAATAGGATAGATTATTAAAAAGAATCAACCTGGGGTTCTAGAGACATGACGTGGGTCTCAATCTGTTCTTTATCAGCACACTTGATTTGTCTAATCTTGTCAGTATAAAGCCACTCTTTGCCTGACACACACAGGGGGTGTCATTGCTTTTTTTTACCTAAATTTGCCATTCTAAGGGAGCCATCACAATGTTGGCATGTTTCCATCCAGTTGGATTGAAGTGCAAAAGTATTTTTCTTTTTTTTTTTCAAGCAAATTAATCCAGTGACGCAGATTGTAATGCCGTTAGACGAAGTCGTCAGGCATGGAGCAGAGATTAAAGAAACCTTTCATGAATATGTTTCTGTTGGGCAAGATCTTGCGTTAACATGGAAGCTAGTTATGGCGTTGCTGCTTCCAGTGATGTTTACACACAGAATAGGAGCATCGGCAAGAGCGGAAATAGCTGATCAGTTATGGGAGGTAAAGTTCAGAACCCTTTTCTACAAAAGCGTAAATACCGTATTTTCACGACCATAAGGCGCACCGTACTAAAAGGCGCACTCTCAGTTATGTGTCCCATTTCTGTATTTAACACACACATAAGGCGCACCGGACTATAGGGCGCGTTTTTTATATACAGGTACATGTCCTCTACTACCTTTAAATAGCTCTACTGCGTATTTTAAAAATACAGCGGGCCCAAAACTGAGTATGATTGTGCTTTATTCATGTATTTATTACAAAGTATTAATCAAACCTGGGAGCTGGCCATGAGACAGACACATCGCAGATGACACAGCGCTGTGATTACTCCTAAATTAACTTAAAATCCTGAAACCTGCCGATGGAATATGTTCGCTTTTATTGCCGGTATCCTGGTGCCTGCACTGTAAATTATTTAGATGAAAAACACCTGCCAGCCGCCGCGGTGAGGCTGCTGTTGAATGGATTTCTGCTGTCGGTGCACCGCTGGTATGTTGGGGTCTGAGCGCCTCCGACAGAAATAGATAATCTGGATGAACTGACTGCAATTAAGTTTTCAGGTGGCCTTTCTCACTTAAAAACATATTAAAACTACTTTATTCCCACTGATCACAGCAAATATAGCTGCAAGATTTAGATTATTTAGATGAAAAAACACCTGCCAGCCGCCGCGGTGAAGAGGAGGAGACGCGCCCAGAGGCTGCTGTTGAATTAAGTTTTCAGGTAGAAAAATAGAGCGGGAGCTAAACTGAGTATGATTGTGCTTTATTCATGTATTTATTACAAAGTATTAATCGAACCCATCAAAGTCATCATCCTCTGTTTCTGAATTAAACAGCTGCGCTAAATCAGACATGACAGTTTCCCCTTCTTCGCTGTCAGAGTCACTTTCCGTGCAGCGCGGCTCCTCAGAAATGATGCCGGCTTTTGCGAAAGCTTGAACAATAGAGCCAGCAGACACGTTAGTCCATCTACAATCCATCCGCTAAAGGTGGCGTAATCTGCCCGGCGCTGCCTTCCACTTATCCTGAAACTGTGGTCTCCGTGTGTCATCCATCGCTCCCACGCCGCTCGCAGCCTTACTTTGAACGGCCGCTTCACACCGATGTCGAGCGGTTGAAGTTCCTTTGTCAGACCCCCGGGATAACGGCGAGCACAGCGTTCATTTGATTCACCTTTTTTTCACATCGGCTGTGAGATGGGCACGCAGCGATGGTGATGCGTGGAAAAAAGCACCTGGTCTTCTCACATACACCTGCCTTTCATCATCTTCTCATCCATCCAGCCTTTTTCATTTGCGTTAATATCATATGTCATCAGAGCGCTGTGTCTGTCTCGCTGTCAGCTCCCAGATCAGCTTCTCTGATTGGTTGATGCGGCGCGTCCAGCAGCAAAACTTCAATTTTTCCATCTCGAGCAGCAGCAGCGCGTTGGCGGTGCGTCAGATGCTTAAACGCTCCTGCAGCCCAAAACGCGCTGCAGGACCTTTTGCTGCGCCTATACGCGCGTCAACCATTGACTTTGCATGTAAACTCGCTGCTTCTGCTGCACCTGCTGGGTCCGGTTCACACCGATGTCGAGCAGTTGAACAGCGAGCACAGGGTTAATTTGTTTCCACATGTTTTTCACATCAGCTGTGAGATGGGCACGCATGGAGTTGCATATTAACAGCGATGGTGATGAGTGGAAAAAAAAACACCTGGTCTCCTTACATTCAGCCACTCTTTCATCATCTCCTCAATGAGGTGGTCTCAAAAGTCGCAGTTACAACACACATAAGGCGCACCGCACCATAGGGCGCACTGCACATTTTGAGGGAAAAAAAAGACGTTTAAGTGCGCCTTATAATCGTGAAAACACGGTAGTTATTGTGAGTTTTAGGGATTTAAAAAAAAAATTTTGTTTTCTATCAAGCTTTACTGATTAGATGGTTCATTCAAAATGGGCATTAGAAAAGGCTGATGGAGATACACCTTGTGTCTTAGATCCCAACCCTACCTTGCTGCCTCAGTCCTTTTTAATTAAGTATCTTTAGCCGCTCTCCCACTGAAAACCCAGATTCTTGAAAACCGGGTTGAGCCGCTAGCAATCGGCATTTGGCAAGCTGCGTGGCTACTAGACTCACCAAGTATCAGCTTGGTGAATCAAGTGGCCGCACTGGTGACATAATCGTTGATGATGTCATTAGTGCAACTGAAATCAGGGAAGTAATGGAGAGCAACATTGTTGGGCCGAGGCGATTTTTTTTATTTTTTTTACGTTGGTCGCTTGCCAAGTCGTTTGACACATCTCAGTGAGCTGTTCCCACTGCCTCTAAAAGCCGATTGTTCCCGGGTTTAAACTGGTTTTTCAAGAGTTTTCAAGATTAAACTGGGTTCTTCTTCTTCATGTATTGCCTTATATGCTGCTTTATCCTTTGTCCAGTTAAGTCTTATGGCCTCTGCAGAAGAAAAGCAGGCCCATAGCATGATTCTACCACTGTGTACAGTTAGGTTTTCTGAACAGATTTGTGGGTAGGCAGCAAGTTTGTTTTGATCTGTTACATAAAATCACACAATATAAAAGTTTGGAATTGTAACTGGACAGAAACTAAAATGCAGCATTTTTTCCATCTTGGAAGTCATGTGTAACAAAGCAAAGGTGATTAATTCCACTGTTCCTGCCTTCTGTGCAGCTGGACATCGTGTTGGAAAATAACCTGTCCACCATACGAGCTCTGGAGACGGTGCAGAGGAGGCTTTCTCGCATGTCAGCTGAGGAGCAGCTGCGATTCAGACTGGACAACACCATGGGGGGCTCCTCTGAGGTTATTCACCGTAAAGCCATTCAGAGGATATATGGAGAAAAGGCTCCTGACATCATTGATGGCCTCAAGAGAAACCCTGCTGTGTCGGTGCCCATAGTTCTGAAAAGGTAAAGGTCTCACTTTGAATTCCCCAACAGGCTATCATTTGATGAATCCTGAGAAGTTCATGTCTCACCACTTGCTCAGGTTAAAAATGAAAGAGGAAGAGTGGAAAGAAGCCCAGAGAGGGTTCAACAAAATCTGGCGGGAACAGAATGAGAAGTATTATCTGAAGTCACTTGACCATCAAGGCATAAACTTCAAGCAGAACGACACCAAAGTACTACGCTCCAAGTCTTTACTTAATGAAATTGAGATGTTATATGAAGATGTAAGTAATTTTAAACTTTTCGTTCATTGATCTGTTGTGGCCGTATCTGTATCTACTGTTTCTGCACTTTGACCCAGTTCTAATCCACTCATCGTAGGAATGGTTTCATGTTCTTTCTGGACTTTGATGGATGTCCTTGAAATCAACCTGTGCTATTTACATTTATGTGCTTTCCTGTATTTGACATGATTGAAAATTTGTGTTCTCCAGCGCCAGGAGCGAGCCTCAGAGGAAACTGCCACGCCGCCACCGAGCGGCCCTCACATCACTCTGACCTACGATGACAGCCAGATCTTGGAGGACGCTGCCGCCCTCATCATCCATCATGTCAAACGTCAAGTGGGCATTCAGAAAGAAGACAAGTTCAAGATCAAACAGATAATCCACCATTTTATCCCCGACCTCCTGTTTGCACGACGTGGCGAGCTCTCCGACCTGGAGGAGGAGGATGAAGAGGAGGAGGAGGAAGAAATGGAGACAAATCAAGACACTCCCAAGAAGCACAACGGTCTCCCTGGCCGCAGTCCTTCCAAGTCCAAGCTCTTGTTCACCAACACGGCAGCTCAAAAACTGAAGGCCACAGATGATGCTTATAACCTGTTCTTTGTGAACAACTACTGGTACGTCTTCTTCCGCCTTCATCACATCCTCTGCTCTCGGCTGCTGCGCATCTATGGGCAGGCTGAGAAGCAGATCGAAGAGGACAACAAAGAGAGGGAGTGGGAAAGGGAGGTGCTGGGCCTGAAAAGAGACAAGAATGAAAATCCAGCCGTCCAGCTGAAGATGAAGGAGCCAAGTAAGTGAGAGTTTTGAAATTTAGCAGTGCTTTCACACGACTCCTACAAACCTTTAACTACTTAAAGTAGTTGCTACTTAGGTTTTGAAAAGTGTCCGAATATCAGCACTCTTATTTTTTGTTGCTACTAAGTTAAAGTGTCATGCACATGTGCTGTGAATCCCAGTAATACATTTTATCTGTTGGCTGGACAGTCTTGATGTGCATGACTTCTTAAATCAGAGTTAAGAGGCTAAATCCTCTGGAGATGGATAAGAACATCATGATGATGTAAAGGATACGTTGCAACACTACAGTAACGTCACATTGGATACTCTCTTAACCCTTTAAAGTCAAGTGTATCATATTTGATACAAGAGATTTTGAAACCTGCATCATCAGTGTGATGTTTTTGTTCTTGAAACCCTGACTTACATAATCAGACACATGTAGTGAACAGAAAACATATAAAAGATGATGTAGAATATGTGTAATATGTCGAAATTGATGCAAATAAATTATGTAATTTAATCTTTTTACAAAATGTGTATAGGTATTTCATTTGTCACAAAGTTCAATGACAATTCTAATTCTGGAAAATTAGAATCTTCTGTCAATTATTTCCTGGTTCAGGCTTTAAAGGATTAATGTTATGTGTAGTTTATTAAACTGACAAATGGGCGAAAAGTTTTCTCAGTGGCGTAACGACAAGCACAGGAGCACACAATTAAGCTGATATGAAGACATTGAATTTTAAAACCAAAACAATATTCTAGAAATTGAGCTGAGAAATCACAAAAGCTTATCAGTTTAATAGATATAGATAAATAGAAATAAAGACTTAAAGAATGAGATGTGGGTCATTAAGAAGCATGAAAGATGGTTAAGATTTTTTTGTTTTTAAAGCAAGGCTTTAAATACAGTTAAAATTTACTGTACTAGCATTAAATTTATTTTTTATTCTGAAAAAAAATTTATTTTAAAAAAATGGTCAAGGGGCGTTGCACAAAAAGAAGCAAAGAATAAGAGGATCCAAGTTCCAACAAAAGTACCTTGAATTTAGTGAATTTAGGGCATGGCTGCAGCCTGCTGTTGGCGAAGATGGGAAAATGGCTTTTCAGTGTTTGTTAAAAATAAATAAATGAAATAAATAGGGGTTAAAGGAGAAAGGTTGTGAGATGAAAAATTTGTCAGAACATGTATCAAAAGCAAAGCACAAAAAATAAGCCTTTGCTGTTTTTTTTTTCAGGTTCTGCAGCATTTAGCATTCAGTCATTTTGTAGCAGATGTTTTTACATCCACTGTGTTGGGAAATGTTTACTTTCATTTAGGCCCTTTAAAACACATTGAGTTTGCAGATTTTGTCTTTACAATTTAATTGTTGCTGGTATTGGATGGCATTAACCATGTTTTCAAAAGAATTTCTACGTTTCTGTGGAAAAACCGTGTAATACCGGGGAGAAAAAGCCCCTCTGCCTTCATCCACCAAAGCACCTTTTTTTTAGTTGGTCATTAAACAGAATTTGTTTTACATAATATAACAAAATATTCCAATTTTCCCACCTTGACATTGCTTTTATGAGTAACTTGAAAAAGTATAGAAGAGTCAACCAATACACATAGTATAGAGATATGTGATTTAAAACGGCTTTAAAATGCTTTGCAGTCACTAGAAGTCTATTATTGTTAGGTTACAGTGTTCCATGTCTTGAAAGTATGAAAATAAACTGATTAATAGCTGCACATTATATTGCATCTCGCTCATTATCTCAATATCAGTATGTGCAATGCGTTTATGATTTTCATGCCATTGATTTATTTGACCAGTTGGATGCCCACATACAGTTTAGTTTAAGTGACCAAGAGGCTAAAGCTCACTGTGTTTTTCTTTATGCAGAGTTCCTTGTAAGTTATAAACCTTCAACTCTCTAATCTGAATTTGAGCATATATATTTTTTTAAAGGCTTGAATCTAGACATAAAATAAATATCCCAGGTGTTGAGAATTAAAAACAGGAATGTGTAGGAGCTCTTTGAGAAATTGTTGGCAAGAAAGCACGTAGAATGCTCATATTAACCTGAACGTCTAGAGACCAGATCTAACCCTACCCAAATAACTGTGTGTCTTTTCCTGTCTGCAGTGGATGTTGATGTTGAAGACTACTATTCTGTGTTTCTGGAAATGGTGCGAAATCTTTTGGACGGGAACATGGAGCCGGCTCAGTACGAGGACTCCCTGAGGGAGATGTTTACCATCCACGCCTACATTGCCTTCACCATGGACAAACTGATCCAGAACATTGTCCGGCAGGTCAGTACCTTAAAGTAACAGCATGAAAAGCATCAGTACTGTTCTGCAAATTAATCGTAAGAAAGATTTTTAGTTTTAGAGATTAGCTGTCTTTGTCTTTTTGGGGACAGACATTTTTTTTTCTTTTATGTTTACGCTCCTCAGAGTCTGTTTATATTTCACCTTTGGCTTGAGCTGAATGTTAAAAACTGTACTCTGCATTTTACAGCTCCAGCACCTTGTTACTGATGACATCTGTGTGCGTGTAACTGACATGTATCTGAGTGAAAGTGCCAAAAAAGCCACAGGGGGAACCATTTCCACACAGACGTCCAGAGCCACCGCAGAGGGGGCCTACCAGCGAAAGGCAGAGCAGCTTATGTCTGATGAGAATAGCTTCAAGGTAACCAAACCATATATATACCGTATAAATGGAGGATGTTTTGAAGTGGCCCCTATTGGTGATCAGCTGATCATTCTTGTGTTTTTCACAGTTGATGTTCATGAAGAACCGAGGGACTGTGAGTCTGGGAATAGAGCTGCTGGATACAGAAGAGGAGAACTCTGATGAGCCGGCAGATGCAGAAGTAAGTCTCCAAAAGTATTTTACACCATTAGCATATTAATCTGCAGATGGAGAAAAGTGTCTCTATTGAAATTAACTATTTTCAACTGGAAAGTGAATAAATAGGAAATGAAATGTCATATTTTGGTTGCTAAATTGTTGTTTTTTTGTCTCCTGGACTTTCTTCTCACAGAAATGGTCAGACTACGTGAGCAGATACCTGAACTCAGACTCTGCGTCCCCGGAGCTACGTGAGCATTTGGCCCAGAAACCAGTTTTCCTGCCCAGGTGAGACCCCAGCCCTGTCTCCCTCCTGTCTGTGCTCATCAGGCTGTGCTCTGAGGCACTTGTCAGCTAAGTTGTCGCATTATTTCCAACACGTCAAACAAGCTGCCAAAAACAACTAAGTGTGAGAGTTAAAAGCAAGACCAGGCGTGCAGAGCTTTTTACAATCAAATGAAATGTGGACTTTAAAGGCTCTGCTTTTTTTTCTTCCTGTTTTGTCTTTAGTAAGAGAACTTAATGGGTTTCAGGATTTCAGCTTACCAAACTGACACAGTTGGGTTCTTAAAGTGACAACAGTGCTTTCACTTCTAAAGATGAACACTGCCATTCATGGGAGTTTGCACTTTATTTGTTCACCTGTTTTAGAAAGAAAACAGTTCATTTATTCAATTTGTTTTTAACAGAAATCTTATTTATTATGAAGGATTTTTAAAAATATTGTTTCCTTGATTGAGTGAGGGATCTTCCTCTTGTTTTTTTATTCTAATATTAAAGCTAAAATCATTTCGTCCTTTTGTTTAACTGTTGGCTTTAGATACCTGACCCTTAAGTTCATAAACTTAACTGAAGTCTAAGACCTGGAAATAAGGAAGTCTTGCTCTCTTTTTTTTTTTTTTTTATCATGTCATACTCTATGTTTGTGATTGTATTTAGATCAAAGTGTTGTATGTGACTGAGGCACCTTTAAATGGTCAGATGTCCGTATGTAACTGCATACTCTGGTTGCGACATTTGGGAATATTTACTTCTTTGTAAACAAAATAATGCATATGATAATCTTTTATTTTATTTTATAGAAACATGTTGGTAAATGATCTTCAAAGCTTGTACAGAAAACTAGGGTTTGTTAATAAAGTGGATGTGTAAATGATTTGTTCATACTCGTCTCTTTCCTGCCGCCTTACAGCGACGCCAGAAAGATGTAATCCTGAATGTTACATTTGAAATATGTCTATTTTGTGTTTTTCATTTTTTTAAAGCACAAATGGTCACTCACTTTTTGTGTTTCTTAACTCAGTTTCTTGGCTGTAATTGCACATCGGGGCCCATCTTTATTTCTTTTTCCCCATTTCATTAAATGTGGGGGAGATCAGAAGCATAACTGTACATTAATTCTCAGCGGCAGAGAAATTCCTTGATTTCTGTTTCCATCCTCATGGTCATTGCACACGTTTCGTCATTGGTGCAAGTTTGTACTCTAGTATTTTCAATATGGTAAATTTGTCAAGCAGCAGTTTTCTGGTGTTTCTCTCCAACAGTTTAATTTAAAAATTGGCCTCACTGTCATGTCTTTTAAGTGGAGCCCTGAATGCAAAAAAAAAAATGCTTCATGGCTTCAGTCCTCACCCATCAGCGGTAAGTACACATTTAAAACCTTGATTCCAGTGGGGTGACTAATTGTTTTTGTTTTGTCTCCTGCGCAAAAATTGGGTCAATCAACAATAGTTTTTCACAGAGCTTTTGTTTTTTTATTTTTCATTTTAAATCTGAACAATGCCGCTGTGCAAAAAAGAGCGCAATACCGAATTATTACGACTCGTGCTTCTGCTGCTCCTTTAGATCCACATTTCCCTCCAATGATTTGACTCCCTAAAATTAAAGCTGATACTTGGTGAGTTGGAATGCATATGTTGGAAAAATTGTTCTCTCAAATGAGGTTTTCTTGCCTGTATTGTGACCGCCCATTTTCCAGCTAAGTGTCCACATAACAGGATAACCATGATTTAAGAATATCTCTTGTAAATATGTTTTAGAGAATTTTTGACTGGCTTCAGTCAGTTATATTTACATAATCTAATTGATCTATTTTATTTGAAGGAATTTGAGGCGGATACGGAAATGCCAGAGAGGATGGGAGCAGCTGCAGCAGGAACGGATCACTAAAGGCGCCTCAGATAAATCTCAGGATGGCAGCAGTGAGCTGAAGATGCAGTGCATGTTCAAACTGAACTCCTACAAGATGGTTTACGTCTGCAAGTCAGAGGACTACATGTACAGACACACCGCACTCTCTAGAGCTCACCAGGTGAGTACAGTGATTGACGGGTTTAGTGCAGCTATTCCAAAGTTTATAGAAGGAAACTAGAATCAGTATCAGTAAAGTATTTACTTGGATTGTAGAATATTAGAAATTAGAACCCTCTTCCTTTCAGTAAGAAGGTTGTCTGTTTGAATCCAGGCCTCAGGTGATTCTGCAGGTTTAAGCTGCGTTCACACCAAAACGCAGCAGGAGCAGCAAAAACGCGTCTGCTGCTTGTACCAGTTTAGTTCTGACACGCGGCTGAAGCAGCTTTAATGCTCTGGCTGCGCGGAGGAAAAGTGGGTCTGACGCGCGTTGGGCGGAGCTACTCTATCCTTTCTTTGCCTTGCAGCTATATTTGCTGTGATCAGTGGGAATAAAGTAGTTTTAATGTTTTTAAGTGGGAAAATCCACATGAAAACTTAATCAATGCAGTCAGTTCATACAGATTACCATATTATTATTTCTGTCGGTGCCGCTCTGACCCCCACATACCGGCGGTGCGCTGTCAGTAGGAATCCCATTCAACAGCAGCCTCTGGCCCGGTCGCCTCCTCGCGGTTCGCGGCGGCGGCTGGAAAGCGGTTTTCATGTAATCTAAACTGCAGGCACCAGGATAATAAAAGCGAACATGTTTTGCCGGCAGATTTCTGCTTTTTAAGTTAATTTAGGCGTTTCAGAGGAGTGATCGTAGCGCTCTGTATCATCAGCGATGTCTGTCTCCCTGCCAGCTCCCAGATCAGCGTCTCTGATTGGTTTATGTGGCGCATCCGGCAGCAAAAGTTAAATTTTTCCATGTCGAGCAGCAGCGCGTTTGCGGCGCATCACGCGCATCAGATGCTTAAACCCTCCCGACGCGCTACTTCAGCTGCTCAGACGCGCTGCGCCTGCTGCTCAAAACGCGCCGCAGGACATTTTACTGCGCCTTGATGCCCGTCAACCATTGACTTTCCATGTAAACACGCTGCTCCTGCTGCGTTTGGTGTGAACACAGCATTACACGATGCATGTAAGGGATCCTCTCAGTTAGCTCAGCTTCTCTCTTAGTTGTTTTAATAAGAAACTGGCTTTAATGTAACACTGAAACTAGTTTTTTGAAGAAAAAAAAAATCATGAGAGGTCAATTCCTCCTCATCAAAACCTTCCTGAGCAACATGCTTCAGATGCAGCATCAGTGGGGTATTTAGGCAATACCTCGCTGACTCTGTGCTGCTGGTGCTTCACATTGATTAACTTCAGTCTTTTAAAACAGGCCCTAGAAAAACCTTTTATCTTCTAACGTCAGAATAGGTAGCAGTTGTGTCTAAAATAATATCTAAGAGGGGAAGAAAATATCAAAATACTTCTTGATGTATAAAATTTTAAAAATGCTCAGTTTATTTTAAAACCTGCTGACACAAAAAAAAAAAAACATGATTTTATTTGTTCATATTAGACCGAAATATCAGATATTTTGCTGCTGACTTTCTGATTAGGCTCCTTTATACTTGAGGCTGACGGGTTTCAAGGCACATCAAACCATAAAAGAAAAAAATATAATAATTACGCTGAAAACACATAAATGATCCAGAAATGTAACAGAAAAAAAATCCAATAACATAAAACAGACAATAGGTAATAAAAAAAAAATAAAATAAAAACACCAGCAAGAAGAAAAAATACGATTGATGGATGAGTGTCTGACCACTAGGGGGAGTCAACATGTTAATTTATTTATTTTTTTTAAACCAGTATTTATATTGAGGTTTAATTTAGGTTTTTCTTTGCAGTAACCAGCAGCATGTAGACGTTTTATTTCTAGGTGTCTTTGCTTTCTGACCTCCACTTTTTGCTTGTCCAGAGTCCATTATTGTGGGAGTTCACTGTTGGATGGAAATGTGCTTAATTCTCTATCTATATAATTTCAGCATTTACCAGTTACATTTCTGTCTTTTGGCATGTGGGATGCATATTTTCATCTCCACCACTACCTCAGTGCACATTTCTTCCCTCTCCCCCTCTTAATTCATTTTCTCCTGTCTGTGTTGTTTCAGTCCCATCAGCGGGTGAACACACGTCTGCACGGACGCTTTCAGACCTGGCTGGACACCTGGGCCCAGAAACACGTGACTAGTGAAATGGCAGCCAGCACTCACGAGTGGCTGATGGGTGATGCAAAAGAGGGACTGTTGTCCTGCACCACCACCTGCAGCCCTGAGATCCTCCACTATCTCAAAATCAACAAGTACTGGGTGCAGTACAGGACACTATAGTTAAACTGTTTGTTTTAAGCAACTTCACACAACAAACTGCCACCGATGAATTTTCCAACCTTCCACAACTGGACTCTGCTGCTACGAGCTATTAGTTGTATTTTGTTTTTGTTTTCCAGGTCAATATTTTTGCTTTAAAACCTTCCACAGATATATTTTAAAAAACGGCACCCATCAGGGTAACCAAACGTTTTGTAAACATAAAGGAAGCGGCTCCAACTCGCTGATTTCCACCACCAAAGCTGAACAAACAGCTGAAGGATTGAAAAACATTAATTTTTTGGGAAATCCCAGTTACCTCTGTTAAGATATCTCTGCTTGGACTTCAGCTGTAAACCTCCTTTAGACTGTGAACGTTTTCAGTCGGTGGTCGAGGTGGAATGATGCTCTATACGTCCATAAAAAAAAAAAAACAGACTCAACATTTCTGGTACCTGCGCTACTAGATGCTTGACATTGAAACAATGTGTCAAGAACAGTAATTTATAATTGCCTGAGATGTTTTTGTAAATATTTTGTTTATAATTAGATTTTTTTTTTTTTTATCGGTTGTCATTGCTGTGTAGCAAACGATAATACATATATCTATATATAGTGTCATCAGTTAGCCAGAAGATGCAAAGACTTTTGTCAAGAGAAGGCAACTTTTACTGTTTACTTTTTCTTTTTAACCAAAAAAAGTTATCTAATTATCTTTTTATTTTTTATTTTAATCTGCTCATTGTTTTCCCAAAGTCATTACTTAGTAAAAAAAACAAACTAAAAAAAAACCCAGCTCATTTATGAAATAATTGGGTCCCTTTTATGTGCATTTCTATGGTCCGTTTTTAGGAAAACTCACAGTTTTAAGATGATTGAATGTAGCTGAGCAGCCGTTTGTCCTCCTTTATAAATGCACCGTGTGGCTGCTTTTAGATTGAACAGCACTTCAAACTTCCTCCTGTATTGAACTTTGCTAAATATTTCCAATCTGCAGGAGTTTTTAGCGAAATTTCAACTTATCACAGTAAAACTGGACACAAGATTATCTTTAATAATCTGTCGACGATAAAAGTATTTGGGTAAATATCAGCAGTGGGAATTCTCTGCAGATAAAAAAAACGAGCAATAATTTCTTAAGTCGTGGATTATTAAAGTCAATTTGTATTTCTTGCTGGAATATATAAATGTGGATGTTGAAAACCCATGAGGGCGTGTAAGCTAAGACTTTATATTGCCCTTATTTCATTTTGCCTTTTAATAGATTTGAAATGTCCTCTTTTGATATTTTAGATGAGATTAGATTTAAAAGAGGAGTTCTTAATATTTAATGTTGGAATGTGGGTCACACACATTAAACCTGAACATGTAAGCAGCAGAATATCATTTCATTTTACTTGACATGTTGCATGGACAGACACAGGGGGGGGCTTTTACCACAAACAGGCATCACTTCTGAGACGAAAAGGAAACTTCCAGACAAACACCAAAACTCTGTTTTCTTGGAGGTCCACTAAAGGCAGCGGTCAGTAAAGTATCCAGCTGCAGACAATCTCAGAATAGTTTAATACTTGGGTCTTTATTTTTGTATTTGCCGTGTTTGTTACAGAATAAAGCAGGAAGTCCCAGAGGAGCCGATTGTAAATATACAGAGATTGTTTGTTCCTCGATTAATGTGTCACTTCTCTTGACTTTTATGATGTTGTATATGAGTGTTAGTTTGGTGTTTGGCATTAAAATATCCTTTGAGTAGACTGAAACTCTTCTGCCTTCATTCTGTGGAAGTAATACTTCATGTCTGTTAGACATTCATCTCCTTTTGTTCATGTTGTTCCTCCTGGGCGTGTTTGCGTTCCCTCCTGGTTCTCTAGCTCCCTCCTACAGACCAAAAACCTATCTAAGTTTCTCATCTTCCCAGGAGATCCCTGCTGTAGATCACACCTCTTAACTCATCCCCAGATCCCTTTACAGCACATAAATGATATTTGCAAAGAGAGGGGAGGGTCCTGCATCAAACATTCTCAACACTTTTATTGGATTAGACCAACTTAGTTCTGCATGTAATGCTAAAAAAAAAAAAAACTAATGCCACTTATTTATAGGCATGTAAAGCTAAACTCAGTCTCCTAAATTATGTTATAAAATAGTGTTTGGGAAAAGAAGTATTTAAACTCCTTGAACTTTTCACCTTTTATCACATTAATAAGACACATTGCTGCTTTTAGTGAAAGGACCAGTGAGGTAAAGAAAGGAAAAAAAGATTATTTCCCTTAGTGTTAACAGTTAACTGGTAGCAGAACAACAATTGCTGGCTTGTTATGGTAAATATAGTTGGTGATAAGGCTGGATCCACTGTTAATTATAAAGCTTTATTGAAAAAAGGATGCAGAATTCTAAAGTGAAGCTGCTAACGTTTAATAAACTGCCACTCTAGCTAATAAACCAAAGAACACCTGTGTGTAATTTTAGCAAACGTGTGTTCTTTTTAGTTGATGAAAACAGCTGTTTTGGGGGAAGATTTCACACAGTTAAGTCAACATGTTGAACAAGGAGCACATCAGGCAGGAAAGGGAGAAAGTTATGGAGACGATTAAACCAGACTCATCTTTAAAAACATTATCTCAGGCCTTGAACGTCAAAGTGAGCATGTTCAATCATCCTCTGCAAACAAACTTCTTAAACATGGGAGCACCATGTTGGGGGAATAAGCTTCAACAGACTTGGATAAAAGTGGAGAAGGAAGAGTTTCTAGGATGGATAAACGAGCAGCAAGAAGATTTTTCAAAAAAGTAGTCTAAATGATTGCAGGTACACTTTTTCTATGAAACTTAATACTGCTAAGATTTCATCCAAACAAATTGATTTTTTTTCCTGGTAACATTAGAAAATAAAAAGTTTGGGGTATGAATAATTTTGCAAGGCACCATATTTGAGCTGTTAGCGCTGTAGTTCTTGGCGACGGGTCAGTTGTGTGTTAAATGGATGTCTACTGTGCTCGTACATAGATCCGTGTGCAGACCACATCATCTGCTCCAAAGATCTGAAAGGCAATGAGAGGAAAAGGAGAATTAGACAAAAAAATAACTTATACAGCTAACTAGTTTATCGTCTTTAGGATCATGATCATTTGCTTCATTAGAAGCTTCGTATTACATTTGGTATTTTAAAGACAGATTCCCTCTAGTTTTTCCAAACGTTTCCTCCTCTCGTCCAAAGAAAAAAAATAACAGATTGTTTTCAGAGCAAATGGATGCATGTATGTCAGTAATGACTCCATTGAAAAAAAAAAAAAAGTTAGAAAAAATCGCCAACCAGATCAATGTTTGTTTGGTAAGAAATCGTGTTTCTGCTTGGCAACAAAAATGCCCCAGTCCAATAGCAGAGTACTGGAATTATATTGATTCGGATTCTCTGTAATTGGATCTTTATCTTTATTTATAGCTCAAATAAAATAAAAATAAAAATCTGGTCTTTACTCAAAGTGCTGAAAAAGGTCCACAAATAAGAAACAACACACTAGAAAATAACTAACAGATGAACAAAACAACAAATAAAATACAATAGAAAATTCCTTTATTAACCCACAATGGTGAAATTCAGGTTTTACAGCAACAAAAAGATGATCAAAAAAATGGCCACACAAATGTGGACCTTAGAACAGTGTATAAAAATAAAATAATAGTGAAGAGTTGAAAAAATAAAATAAAATACTTCACTGTAAATTGTTTTAACAATATAAATACTTTGCACCTGAAGAATAAAAAACAATAAAAATTTTTATTAAAAGTGATATTTTGCCTTTGAATTGGAATAATCTCAGAACATCTATGCATATTAAGAGGATTTTATAATTAGATTTGTTTGTTTATTAATACTGTTAATTAAAAAGAACTGCAGCCATAGATGATTACCAGCCTGACTATTGTAGAGATTCAGTGCTCCAGACTGCCCCCTTGTGGATAAGTAATTTATATAATTACATTTAATTTTTAATGATCTAATGTATTAGTAAAAAACTTTTTTTATTTTATTTTTTATTTAACCCTCCACCCTTGGGGAGCAGCAGGCAGCTTATTCTGGTTCTTGCTCAGGAATCCTGTATTCCCAGCCTTCTCAGAACATAACTCTGCTCTGACCATTAGCCCACGACTTCCCAGTTCTTTTCCCTGTTTTTGTTTCTCAGAGCAGTGCAGTTTTATTTAAAAAGTGTAAATCAGCTATCAAACAGTTGCAGACCGTCCCCTTGGAACCAAACTAATGTTTTTATAAAACCATATTCTTCACATCTCAGCAGTAAAACAACACATTCATCATTTAGGGTGATGTAGCATCATAACCTTCTGCTGTAATAGTTTAATTTCTGTCGACATGCAGCTGTGATGAAAACCTTCTTGGTCAAAACAGCTTTTTTTTTTTCTAAGATTATCATGTACAATAAAAGCTTTTTAAACTCTGGATGCTGACATTTCCATAATGAACACAGCTCTTTTAAAATCTGTCCTCCAACACAGACGCGGACTGTAGCGCAGGCTATTGTTATTTAAATTGACTTTAATTGAGCATGGCAGCTGTCAGGTTTGCATTCTTAATCACATGTTTTGTTTTCTGGACTAAAACACTGGAGCGCTGGAGATTTATGGGCTTCTTAGGGAGGTTTGGAGAAAAAGGGATCATGCAGCGGTACGTGTCATTACCCCAGGCAGTGTGGAGTAGCAGAATGAGGGGGAAAGAAATGTTGGAGCTAAGATAATTGAGCCGTGACGACTCCATCTGGGGAGGGGGGGTATTAGATGAAGGTAGAACCAGGGTTCATTAGCATTCATTAGTGTGATCATTGAGGCCAGAGAGCAGAGGAGGACGCTTGCAGCTCTACACTCCCTGAGTTATCCCAGATTCACCTACCTTCAATATTATTATAAGGTTGATATTATGGGATTATATTTTTTTTTCTTCTCAGGTGAAGATGGTGAAGATTCCCAGTCATCCAGGTCATAGTCATTCCAAAAAAGTACAAACAAAAAAAACAATCCACTTGACTTTGTTTCCAAGTTTTAAAAGTGAGTGAAAGTTTTTAAACGTGGAAACAAAGTCCAGTGGTTTGTTTTTTAACCTTTTTGGAATTTTACCAGTATTTATTAATGTATTAAATAAAATACTGAACTGTACATGTAGGCATAATGCATGGAAAGTGTGTTTTTTCTCCTATTTTCAAACATACTGACTGATCCCTAAATGGTCCTTCTTGTTTATCAGAGATCTCACAGAGTGTAGGAAACATTTTATTGTCATTAGCTGACAAAAAAAAAAGGAAAATACTGAATAACATTTTGGATTATCACAAAAAAAAACTTTTAGTCTGAATTAATATGCTGTTATTCAGTATTACAACTGATTAGTGTGACTGTTTTAAAACTGAAAAAATATTTTGATTATTTAGTCAGTCTATCTCCTGCACTGTTTTTGTTATAACAATCTCTTGCTGCTCACTTGGATGGCCGCCTTTAATGAACCCTTATGAGTGTTTGTATATTCATTAACAAGGGATTAAAAGGCCAGCTGTGCTGCTGGTGTCTTAATCGATTTCAGATTTATTACCAACATTTGCAAACTGCAGCAATTTTGAAATGGCCTGCCTCTTTTATGAGTTGTTTATTTGCATCCAAGTAGCTTGCAAAGTGACTATCTATCCAAGAATACATAACGGTTTAGTTTTTGGTTTTATCAGGTAGTTGCAAAAATCTGAGCCATAATTCAGTCACTTTAATTCCTATTCTGATTCATGATATTTGAAATTTATACTTAGATTATTATTATTATACTAAAGGCACTGTTTCCTTTGTGTTTCTTCCTCATATTGTTTTAATAGAACCCTGCAGGATCTATTCTGCTTTTATTTATACTTTTTACTATACTGTGCTTAAACCGCTTGTAATTATCTTAATTAATCTTATAATTTAATATGAAAAAATACACAAAAAGGTTAGGAAGTAAATACACAAAATGTTTTCAGTATTTAGGAAAATCTTGATTTGAAATATTAAGGATCTAGGAAAATATTTTTTAGAGTAAACTGAGAAAAACACAGGTGGTGTTCCCAACCATTAGGGAGCTTTAACCATCCCTGCCTGCGCAGGCAGCAGCTCTAAAGTTTACTGAGTCCATCTTGACCTTTTTTCTCTCACAAATGTTTTTTGATCTTTTTGTTATAGTGAAAAAAAAACCTTCCCAAAAGAATCGATTCCAAGATGCCTATCAGATTATGGTCTATCACTCCAGCATGAATATACAAACACACCCCGTGTTAAACAAAAACACATTTAGAGAGAATAACTCTCTGTCTCATTTGAAAACATACATTCAGTCCAAATTACTGCCTCTCCCAAACCTTTCCCTGATTGCCTCTCTGCAGAGAGGAGTGAGTCAGTGTCCGTACAGACATCTCAGTCCAAGCCAAGCTGGACCGCTTCCTTCTTTTTTAAATGTCCAGCTGGGCAGTAAACCCCGAAACTTTTCAAAGGCGGGAACTGGAAGCAGACGTGTTTCTGATGGATGCAAGGCCGCGAGGCGTCGGGAGGAATGCAACAACAAATGAAGCAGCGAAACGTTCAACTCTTGCAACCTGCTTCTCTGCAGGAAGCCTGAGAAAAGCTGCAAGGTTTTTGCTTTCATTGGGGGAAAAAAAACTACAAAAAACAAACTCTGTTCATATGTGCTATATTAAAGATTCTGAGTATGTGATTAAATGTTTTTTCAGTTTACT